CATGTTGTGTAGACATGTTGTGTAGTCATGTTGTGTAGTCATGTTGTGTAGTCATGTTGTCCTGACATGTTGTGTGGACATGTTGTGTAGACATGTTGTGTAGTCAGTGTGTGTGTAGCAGATTGTCGACTCGTTCACAACAACAGGAACATGTGGGTAACGAGGGGCGGAGCCTGTAGAGCAGCAGGAGGCGGGACATGACGTCTAAACTGTGTAAAGATCAGTGTTGTTGTTTWCAGCTCGTCCACACGGCGTCGGCCCTCATCACCAAAACATCTGGAACCTCCTCGTCTGTCCACGTTGAGACCCTGAGTGAACAAAGCTGTTAGAGGAAGTCGTGTGGTGACGTCAGACGATCGCCTGTTAAACGCCTCTCGTCAGAACATGTCGACCGCACTCTGGATTTAAAAAGTGATGTAGTTGTTCAAAGAGAACAGGGTCACCTTGGCGACGGGTTGTCGTATGTAAATGTGACTTACAGACGTTTCCTCCCACTCTAGTCGACCTGACGTCTCCTGAATATTCACGTTAACGAACCGTCTGTTTCCCTCGTCGCTTTTACAAAAGCTTACTGAACAAACTTAGTCAAACCAAACATGAATATTAAATATAAATTCATTTCTCTGGTCGTCCCAGGTCTTTCACTCTTTCAGCCACTTTTAAGACAAAGAAGGAAAGGGGACAAACGAGAAGTCAAATAAGACGTAACTTCTGGTCGCTGAGTAACGACGACCAGTTCATACGATTTTCTCGTGATGTAAAGAAAATGTTAATGTTTTGTATCTGCTGCCCGCTGAGTTGGAGACGGAGGAGCGTTGTGAGCAGCAGCTGACGTTTAGAACAAACAGACACATGTTCACATGTTCGACACCTGAATGTCATGAAACCCTTCACACTCACCCTGCATCTCAACGTGACAATGGTTAGAGCTCAGACGTGTTGTGGCTCCAGCCCTCGACTGAAGCTGACTAACTGACACTGTTTCCCTGGACACGAGTGGAAACAGTTACAGGAGCACGTTCAGTAGTCGTCATGAAATCCTGCAGAAGAACAAACGGGTGAAAACAACCAGAGTCTTGAGCATCATAGAAGAAGAAAAGGAGGAGGGGTTGAAACTAAACTCAAAAAACACAACAACACATGTTGAGATCAAATCCGTCACTTTGATTGTGTTGTGTGTTGTATGAAGAGCAGATTGAGGCCTGAGGCTCCGTCAGCTCCTGCTTCACAAACTGTTTATATTCTGCTCTGTCGGGAGAGAGACGATGACAGTCATATATAAATATATAACATAGATATATAATGTGGTACAACAATGATCTGCTCTCTGAGTGTGTGTGTGCCCCCCCCCCCCAGCTTGAAACAGAAAGAACCAGCAGGACAGAAGATAAGATGGCTGCAGAGTTATTTATAGGCTGAGCTGTGAGCTGCTGCAGCACAACCTCAGATCTGTAGGAGGGGGGGGGGGGTGGACTCCATTGTGTGAGCGACACAAAGCGAGCGGCCTCCTCCATGTTGAGAGAGGCTGCTGCTCTTCATGAGAAAGAGGGAGGAGAGGCGGGGGAGGGCGGGCGCAGATTTAAATCTCAGAGGGGATTTTTTTCCTTGGGAGGAGGGGAGAGTGGGGGGGTATAGGAGGAGGGTTAATATTCATGCAGGGTTTAAAAAAAAAAGAAGAAGAAGAAGAAGAGGGGGCTGGGAGATGGAGGGAGCACAGGATTGGCTGCCGCTCCCCGCCCCCTCACGTCTCACAGCAAGTCTGTCAGCCAATCAGGAGCCTCCGTAGCATTTGAAAGATGCCAAGGAGCAGGAGGAGCAGGAGGAGGAGGAGGGCATAAAAGAGGAGTCAGAGATGATAAATGTGCAGCTGGTGTCGATGTGCAGTCGCTGCAGAAACGTTTCCTTCACGAGGTCGACTCACATGACGTCAAGTGTTGTTTTATTTAACGTAGGAGGAGCAGCTGTCGGAAAATATTCACCATCAGGTCATTTAAAACGTGATCATGTGTTTTACGTGTGATTTTTAATGAGCCCCCCCCCTTCACTCATCATCACATCAGTTTAAGGTGATATCAGTAAAATGTGACTCTATATTAGCCTCTAGTGGCAGATTCAAGGAAGTGCAGCTTCATCTGCGAAAGTCTCCTCGTCCTCTAAAGGAAGACCCCTCCCCCGCCTCCTTTATTTAAAGACATCCATTAGACGACAAATTAAAACAGAAGAATAAAGTTCATAATCTTCAGAAGTGACAAGAAATGAAATGAAAGGATTGTTTGTACGTGGATGAAGAGACGAAAGCAGAGAGGAAAATAAAGGTGTAGAACAGAAACCTGAGGCTGCACATCACTGTGTCTAACTGTCCTCTGTCCTCTGTCCCCCCGTCGTGTCCTGTGCTGTGGCGGCGCTGCCTCAGCCTCCTGCAGCCGAACGTCTGACCTGGACTTTGCTCCAGTTCGTCAGCGTCTCTTAATCTTCAGCTGCTGTTGGATCTGCAGAGCATCAAGACAAATTTACTGAGAGGGGAAGGAGTGGGGGGGGGGGGTATCACACTCACATGCTAACACTTGCTAACACAAGCTCATGACTCCACCCCCCCCTCTCTACCCCCCCCCGTCCTGTTTCCATGGTGCAAAAACAAGGACGGATTACCGTTCATCTGCTCCATCGCCATGGAAACACTGACCTCACACTATGGTGACCGGCAATCTTGGCTGGTCGTCATGGCGATACACTGCCGGTGCTGTGCCGTGGGGCGGGGGGGTTGTTAAGGGACTACTGGCGGAGCGGCCCTGCAGAAAACTGTCTGCTTTAATGTGACCAGCAGGGGGCGCTCATTGAGTCACAGCAGTTTATTTCTTTGAGCTGCTGAGTCCGGTGAATTTTTTTATCATGTGATGGTCACATGTCAGACTTGTGATGTCATCATGGATTAAAAAGCAGACGGACACAGACGTTAACTTCGTAAAGAAGCGGGATCGTTGGTGTGATATCAACTCTGATATTACTTTTATATATTGTTTCGCTGCTGAGTGAATGTGACGTTAAACATGTGTAGATTTCCAGACGAGAAGGAAACTCTGTTAAACCGTCACCAACTTCAAGTTTTCATTGTCAAACTCAACATCTCAGATTCATCTGACGTCCGCTCTGCTCCGGAGAAGTTTGTCGACGCTGCAGGTCTCTGAGGCTGTTTTAGAATCTGAGATGTTTGGAAAAAGTGACGTAGACGCTCACAACCTCTTTCTGATTGACACCAGCCTCAGCTCCACAGTCGAACACAACATGGAGAATCAATTACAAGAGTTACTGACCTCGTTGTCTTTGTGAACTCCTGCGGTTCAGTTACATTCTGTATTTTACAAAGACAGCTGTTTCTGTTTTATGTTCCGATGGTCACGTGATGTGTTTTCAGGTTGTTGCGGTGGGCGGGGATTGAAACTGACGTGTAGACAGATGGATTCAGTGTGAGAAGGTCATCGTGTGGCCGTAGCTTCAAAGCTAATGTAGTTAGTTCTTTATGTAACGAGACGTGTTGTTGGTCTCCCCCGATGAAGCGTTACTTCGATGTTATGTTTTGCTCTTGTGACGAACTCGCTCTACGCTGAAGTTTGCTCAGGTTCAAATGTTCTGAGCTCTCGGGTGCGTGTTCATTTGCATGTTTGCATTGACTTTGTATGTGATCGCACTGAAAACAGTTTGAAGTGTTTTAAGGTCATGACGTTCGAACACGGAACAGGAGCTCTGTGCTCTTTTAAATACTTTAAGT